TCAGGGCATTCTTAGTTCCCAAGTTATTTTATAATATCTTCTGATGTTTTTCATGCTTAAGTTTAACTGGAGATGAAAATAATTCCAAATTGCCGGCACAAGGAAGAAGCAAATTGAATACAGAGCCATAATATCCGAACGGAATCTACAAGCAAATCACTCTTTATTCCAGAAATTAAAGTTTCACTTCTTTTCCTTCCCCTCTGGAATATCTTTACCTTTTTCTCTCTGTATGGCTCATATATTCTCGCTTTTATGAAGGTTTATTTCACGTGAGATCAATTAAATGTCACGAATCGACTGTGATCTTATAGTGTATTCCTGGTTAATAGTATCTAACCTCCCTAACACAGCCGATTTCATAAATGGATAACGATAGAAATACTAACACAACTTGGAACGTCTAACGTTTGTCAAACGAGAATTCTTATTAAAGTCTTCAGTAATCGATTTTGCTTAGTCATAAATTAAACTGACGAACGACCTCGTGAGAATACCATAGATTGTCAATTTGAGGCATCACAGAAAATAATCTACAAAATAAACACTTATTACAAACCTGCTGATGTCAAACTCATAATATCTGATTAAGACCTCGGTGTGTCTTACAGAAAAACTTTCAAAGAATATTACTCTCCTTTCACATGGACACCGAGTTTTCTTTCTCTTTTACCTTTAGGAGGGGGCTATGTAACCAAGCTTTCAAAGGAAGCCTGGCCTTCCATTCCCATAATGCCTTTTCAAGCTCCGTAAATAAACATGGCAGACTTACAGCTGATGCCGAAGATATTTTGAATATTCTAATCTGCTGTTTAGATTTTTGCAAGACATCTGTTCTTAAGAACTGATCACAATGGCACACAATGAAAGTACTCTTCGCGCGTTTGCTGTATCTTCCTCAGTATGAAATGTAGACGTACCATTCATGGCAACTGACAAAGTATTTACGATCCGAAATTTTGAGGGAGAAAGGCGAGTTATTCCGTTGCCAATTCAGACATACTTCTGGCGGCAAACAAGGTGAAGTGCAAATCTCCTTCTTAACAGAAATCAGGCGCTTGTTTAGCGTTAAATGAGGTGGAATATTCGTAATAATGCTGACTTTCTTAGCTCTAGTCCAAAATTAGTTCAGGACTTATTATTATTAATTTTGCCTGGTGCGATGTTCTTTTTCCTTCACCATAAGCTTATTTGAAGCAAATGAACAATAACCTTCAAGAGGGTCTAAGCCTATTTTTTGTTCACTGAGCGTTTTTTCGAGTGTTCCTTTGTAAGCTAAAATCGTACTCGTTACGATCAAACGTTCCACGTACGCTCTCACGTACTGTATACCGTGGACATCGTGATAAATGCAGCTACAAGAGTATACTCCATTGCTTTCGGCCACCTTGTGTTGATCTTAAAAGAGCAGAGATCGTAAAGTGATATTTAATGCTCTTTTGGAAAATATTATAATTCGAAGATCGATTAAATATCTGATTCTTCTTGTGCAGTGTTTGCCAAGTGAACACGAC